AGCTATTTGTGTTGGGCTTCACTTAGGCAAAGGTCACACGCCTCCACACCTAACAGAAATATAATAGTGATAAATACACTTAAAAAAACCTGAAAGTACAAGCTGAGATATTAATTAATAGCAGAATGTGTGAAAAGTGTAGACAAGTTTTCATTCTCCCTTCTACTATTTAAGTGTCAGGTACAATGCTACACACTGGGTAAATACAGTGATGAGGAAAACATGCTTCTGTTGTATGGAGAGGTAGATACAAATCAAATCAATCAGCAAATACATATTTTTAAGCTATAAGAGTTAAGAAGAGCACATCCTTACAAGATAGTTGGGCCTTTCAAAATATCCATTGAGTCATTTGATCCATACCAGAATGTCCTTGAAATCTGGCTCTATCAAAACATCCATGATTTATTAAATAATTCAAACATTTAGCCTCATCAAAATTTTAGTTATGTTATTCCTATTGTAATTCATTTTTGTCAGTATTCATTGTGAATTTGGTCATTATATTTGTATATGACCACAAAGAATATGGATGATAATTTGTTCATTACTTCATTGTTTTGTCTTTTTTCTTAAAGATTTATTTATGCATAAAGAGCTGGGATTCAGGCCAGAGGTGCAGGGGTGGTGTGAGGTTTCACCAGAGACAGAGTAGGGAGCCGAACAGGCCAACTGAAAAAGTACACTGCTGAGGGCAGCAGCAGGCAGGCCAGGAGAGGTCTGCCACACCATATGGATCACCTCTGGGGTGGGTTTTGAACTCATACTGATGTGGCTTTTAGCTTCTTATTGCTTGCTATAACCCGCTGTGCCACCAGGGGGGGCCCTTGTCACTTTTCTTATGTTAGAGATGTACTATTTTTATTTTTCTTAAAAGATTTATTTTTATTTATTTATACAAGAACTGGGATGTAGGCTAGAGGTGCAGGAGGTAAGAAGATTCACCAGAGACAGAGTGGGGAGCAATACAGGCTGATTTACTGAATGAAATACATTGCTGAAGAGAGAAGTCGGTGAGACAGAAGAGGTCTACTGCACCATATGTGAGTCAGCTCACTAGCTGAGGATCGAACTCATGCCTCAGTGGCTGGCAATAGCTTGATAGCACAAGACTTTAACCCCTGTGCCATCCAGGGAGGCCCTTTTGCTGTTTGTCATTTAACAAACCAATAAATCTCCAAATTGAGGATGATACACTACAGTCAGCTTTTGAAGTTTGCCTTGCTAACTTTCACTTGAATTATTTGTTCTGTGGTTGCCACTCAATACTGATGTATAACATTCCAACTTTCTGGTGAAAATCTTGGAATTTCCGGTTGTTTTCTGTCTCTGTCACACCTTATACAGACGTATACTCTAAATATAACCAACAGATGATCTAAATTTTCTTCTACTTGCTCCGCAATGTATTTTAGTACATTAAATTACATTTTCTAAGGATAAAACATTAAGTCCAAACAATATGGATGCAAACTTATGGGTGTTACTTTCCATTATCATATACTCAAGACCCAAAGAAGATATTTTTCACTACAGGGCTTGTGAAATTGAAGCAAGCATTTGATAGGAGCAGTCAAATTGCATTCATATTGGCAACCTTACAACTCATCATGCACAATGAAAGGTTAATGTTAATATTTCTTCCCTATGCAAATGTAAGTTATTTATCATATATATCTGTAACTGATCACTTTTTCATTGTCAGTACACAAATCAATGGTAGTATAATCAAGTACTCCACTGAACACTGTAAATAACAAGTCAGTTATTTCAATTTAATTCAACACAGGGATAGTTTCTAAGTGTGGATGTTTTTGTCAGGACTAAAAATCAAAAACTTTATGGTGTGGACCATATGCCATATGTCTTAGTGGATGTTTTGATAGGACCATATATCAAGGACCTTTTGCTTGGATCAATTGTAGAAATAGATGTTTTGCAATGGACCAAATATCTGCTAACTGAGCTTATGATAGGAACAACCTGGTCAGGGAAGGCTTCTCTGACCAACTTGACATTTGAGCTGCATTTTCAAAGACAAGAAGAAATAACTGAAGGCAAGGCAGGGAAAAGTAAAACATTAAGTTCAGTGAATCAACAATATGAATCAACAATATGCTTTCACTTTTCCTTGGTAGAATTTCAGCCTGGAACTTGACTTGCTCACTCATGGAGTTGAGGACTCTGATGATGACTTAGCCAGAGTGTTGGTCAGGCTGGGCCAAAGGATGGTCAACATGTTGGGATTAGGAATGAAGAGATAGTTGCATGTTTGGGAAATTTTTTTTCACATAGAATCGAGGTTAATAGGAGCCAGGTTTCTCAATGTTGTTGAGGGTTGTAAAGATGAAAGAGAGGAAGGAAACTAGAATAACTGTTATTCTCTAGTGTGCTGGATTGAAAATGGAGATGAATTTGGTTATTTATACATGTATGTTGTATATATATATACATATTTATTTTCTAGCTCAATTCATTGAAGATACCTAGAAACAGTAGATGGTACCCCAGTAACAATGAGCATACCTAGCACTCAGGTCTTGAGTGCTACTATTCTCCATTAAAATACTATTTCTCGGGCCCTCCCTGGTGGTGCAGCGGGTTAAAGCACTGCACTAAGAAGCTAAAGCCATTTGAGCATGAGTTCAATTCCTGCCTGCCAGGGAGGAGAACCACATGGCGAGGCAGACCTCTCCTGACCCGCCCGCTGCTCCCCTCAGCAGTGTACTTCGTCGATCTGCCTGTTCTGCTCCCCACTCTGTCTCTGGTGAATCTTCTCACCCTCCACATCTCTGGCCTGTACCCCAGTTCCATATGAATAAATAAATAAATATTAAAAAAAATACTATTTTCCATTAAAGGGAACCAGAGAGCCTTGGAGAAATTACTCATTCCAGGGCTGGGGCAGGGAGAGTACAAGATGACCTGGAACATCTTATTGTGTTCATAAAGTAATAAAGTGTTCAAAGAATGATAGGGACATCGCAAAAGGACAGCGAGTTTTAAGAAGCAAAATAATGATAACAGTGGGTTATAACATATTGAATAAAATATATCTATTATTTTGTACGAAAATATATTTTCAAAACATGAATAAATTAAGTGGGAAGTAAGAAGAAGCTCTATATAACAAGTATCAACTAATAAATGGGAAGTAAGTAATTAAGTGGGAAGTAAGAAGATGCTCTATATAACAAGTATCAACTAATAAATGAAAAGGGAATGATGAAAATAGAAAAATCATTTAGCAACTATCATAGTATACATATGTTCAAGCAAGGATCAATGGATGATAAAACTAGTAGGTAAAATTTAATGGGGAACAGAATACTTGTTCTCAAAGTTTATTCCACAAAGTACTTAAAAAGTAATTATTACTTAATAAGTAGTTATTAAGTAACTGGTAGACATTATCTTAACTTTAACCAGTGATGGGAAGAATTGATCCTGTCTATTTGTATGCTGCACCAAAACCCATTGCTTTTGTGGTATACTTACCAAAAACACACATACTGAATCTAATCATTAGGAAACAACAGACACACCCAAATTGAGGTTCATATTATAAAATAGTTAGTCTGTACCTTAAAAAATGTCAAGGTCATGAAAATAAGGAGAGACTGAAGAATTATTTTGGCTTGCAGGAAATGAAAGATAAATGACAAGTAAATGCAACTTATGATCCTGAACTATGAAGAACTTTATTAGGACAATAAGTGAAAATTGAATTGGGTCTCTGGATCAGACAGTAGAATTTTATCATTATTCATTTCCTAATTTTGATGGTTATGCTGAGGCTATATAGAAAAGAATCCTTATTTTCAGGAAGTACACACTGAGTGATTAATGGGTAATAGCGAAGTGATCTTAGAATGGTTCAGAAAGGCACACAAAGAGAAAGATAAGGTAATGTGGTAAAATTTTGAAAAATAAAGAAATGGCATGAAGGTTATATGGCATTTTTTTGTGCTTACTTGCAAATTTTCTGTAACCATGAAACTATTTCAAAATTAGAAGTTAAAAAATGTTAGTACAAATTAACAGGGGCAAAGTCATGTGGCCTTGACGCACACTTGTGCAAGTCTAACTAGAATGAGGCTGCCTACTCGGTGTTGAGCAGGCTTCACTGGAATGTGGGATTCAGCTCTCAGAAGGTAAACCTGACTACTTCACGTGAGGAACAACTGAGGAGTCTGAAGATGTTTAACTAGAAGAAGAAAAATATCTAGAAGATAGGGAGGGGACTGACTACTCTCTTTAGTTCTCCAAAGGGTGTCTGGGACAGAGAAAGCAGATTTGTTATGGGGAAAGAGATTTATGGAAGAAGTTTGTTTGTTTGTTTGCTAGTTAGAAAAAAAAGTCCAACTGATCTAGTTCAGGAGTTCCCTGTCATAGGATATGTTCTGATACAGACTGGACAATTCATCCTCAAGGCTGTTACAGAGATTTCATGAATCAGATCAATGCTGGACCCAATGATCACTTTAACCTTCTGATAAAGGTCCTTCTGATGGTTGTTTGTTTTCTTCAGATATTAGGAATTTGAGCATTTCTGGAATAAAATGCAACGTGTATTGGCCTGGGATGAACATAAACCATCTTGTTTTCACATGGGCTATTTCTACATAGCCTTATCCTTCAACAATCCTTAACACTATGGGAAATTCATTTGTCCCCCAGAAACAAGCTAGTCACAGCAGCCAAAGTCACAATGACTTTTATTTTGGAAATTTCATTCAATAACAATAAAACAGGTCCTAGAAAAATAGAAAGAAAAGCTTAAGAAAAAGCTTCGCAAAAATTTAAATAACCAACATGGCAACACCATAAATCACTTTTTCAAAAGACCTTGGAGTCACTTGAGGAGATAAAAAGAATTGTCATATTTGCTCCTTCCTTCTCCTTACTATTACAAACAACAAAGGCTGTTGGTACAATGAGAGATGTCTTCTTGAAGTTGCTCCCAGATTGCTTGCTTGTGTGCTTTGTTTCAGCAGTTCTCACTCTTCATTAAAAAGTAAGCCCTTCTTTTTATCTAATGTTTTGACAAACTCACTATATAGAAGATTCATCTGGGAAAGAAAGTAAATTCGAGATGAAAGGAAATAGGGGAAAGCTTCCCAGACCCATTGTGATGACATGAGAGTCTAACCCATTTTAAAGAATTTATTTATTTATGCATACAAGAACTGGAGTACAGATCAGAGGTGGAAGGGCAGTAAGAGGATTCATCAGAGACAGAGTGGGAAACAGAGCAGGTGAACTGACTGAAATACACTGCTGAGGAAAGCAGCAGATAATTCAGTAGAGGTCTGCTGCGCCATGTGGGTCACCTCCCGGGCCAGGGATAGAACTCGTGCTGTAGTGGCTTCATAGTGCTGCACTTTAACCCATTGCACCACCAGAGAGTACCCTGAGCCACATTTGGATAAAAATATACTCTTTAGGAAGAGGAATCCCACTGTACTATGCCTAATTACTGGAGAAGGGCTGTTAAGGGAGAAGTTAGTTAAAACACAGAAGACTCTGCTCTTATTTGGTGACAAGACTTTTTCTCCACCAAGTTTCTCCTGGTTAGTAATGGATCTGAAGTCTGAAACTCAGACTAGTTCCTGGAGAAAATGTATTTTAAAGTCATTGCTTTGTACAGGGGCCACTTATTCCTCACCTACACTGGTATTAAAAGCAACACATCTTTAAGAACCCTTCTTAATTAGACTCCATTCACAAATTCCCCCGTTTGCTAGCTATCCTTTTTTTTTCCCCACTCTAAGAAATTACTATTTTTACAGTCCCTAATCTGTAGTTCTATGTAACCACTGAGGGGAGCAATGATTGAGACCCTTTCCTAGCCAAGGGAAGTAGAATTGAGTCCTGTGAGCACAGCTAGAACTTCATGCCATCCACCAATAACCCTGTTCCTCCTCACCCGAGTGTCATAGCTTCTCTTCAGTGAGCCAAGGTGGTCAAGGAAACGCAATGCCAGGTCACACCATTTTTCAGCAGATACATACTTGCTTCTACCATACATAAGTATTCCAGTATTCCAGGACTTAATCATCAGCCAGAGAATTTCCATTTCTGGGTAGTCTTCCTGAAATCCAAAAACAGTGGGTTTTTTCTTGGCTAGAAACAGTGTGACTGTTTCCTCTCACAACAATTGTAGCATCAACTCTTAGTAGTGCTGTACACCATTATTATTAAACAGTAGATGCTCTGTTAATACTTAGTCAACTAGTTTCTCCAGGAATTAGTCTGAGAGTGATTGCCCATGAGCAATCCCATGTATCTGAAGATTAGAACAGAGCACTTTGAAGGTTCATTAGCTGTTGAATTCTCCAAAGACCTAAAAAAGTGACATATAAATTGGAAAGGCAATGAGGTCTTTCCTTGAAGCTCTCCTCAGTCATTTATCCTTCTATGCCTACCTCTAATTTTCAGAGAAAGTCATTAGTAGCAGTTTTACTGAATCTTTTAATTTCCTTGACCTGCATCAGCCTGTATTCAGAATAGCAATTATACTAATCCTTATTTTCTAAAAGATAATACTTTGTAAATATTTATTTATTTATACATACAAGAACTGTGGTACAGGCCAGAGGTGCAGGGGCTGTGAGAGGATTCATCAGAAACAAAGTGAGGAGCAGAAGAGGCAGATTGATGAAGTACACTGCTGAGGGGAGAAGCAGGCTAGACAGGAGAGGTCTGCCACACCATGTGGGTCACCTCCTGGCTAGGGATCAAACTCCAGCTGAAGTGGTTGTGGCTAGCTTTGTAGCTTTGTAGTGCTGAGCTTTTAACCCATTATGCACCAGGGAGGGCCCGAGAAATTTTTTAAAGAAATTGTCTCACACAATTTTTGGGGCAGGCAAATTTGTAGTCTGTAGCGTAGGTCAGCAGACTGTAAACTCAGTAAGAGCTGATGTTGCAATTTTAAGTCTGAAAATCTTGTAGGGATATCTAGCAGGTTGGAAACTCAGGCAGAATTTCTATGTTATAGTTGTGAGGCAGAATTCTTTCTCCATGAAACCTCAGTTTTTGCTTTCAAGTGAAAACTTCTGCAGAATAATATGTTTACTTAAAGTCAAATAATAGCAATTTTTAAAAATTATTAATATTTAATGTTGACATTATCTACCTACCTATGAACAAAGGGAGTATTTCTAAATGGTACCTTAGCTTTATTAGTGGTCTTTAAACATGACTGAGCACAAGACTATATTAGCTTCTTTACAATATTTTGCAACAATGAAAAGGCTTACTTGAAGGAGTTTTGACCTTTGTTATTGTACTAGGGAAATACCACAATGGGAGCATTTGTGTACTTATTCCATATTAAAATCTTTTATGTACACAAAAATTCTCAGACTTTTGAAGGAGAAAACTTGATAGAAAATATGGACAGTTCCTTTTTCTCCAAATACTTGCCAACATTTGTTGTTGCTATTTTTTAAAATATGTTCCATTCTCACTGGTGTGAGATGGTATGTCATTGTGGTTTTGATTTGCATCTCCCTTATTATAAGTTATTCTGAACATTTTTTCATATGCCTGTTGGCCATCTGCATTTCCTCTTTGGAGAAGTATCTTTTCAGCTTTTCTGCCCATTTTTGATGGGGTTGTTCATTTTATTTTTGTTAAGTTTCATTAGCTCTTTGTATATCTTTGTGATCAGTTCCTTATCATTAGTATTGGGTGCAAAAATTTTCTCTCAATCAGTATGATGTCTTTTTGTTTTGTGAAATGTCTCTTTTACAGGACTATACAGGAGCTCTTTTAATTTGATGTAGTCCCAGCTGCTTACCCTTTCCTTCACTTCATTGCTTTGGGAATGTATCTTTAAAGATGTCACTGAGGTGTATGTCATGTAGTGTTTTGCCAATATTTTTTTCTATATATTTTATGGTTTCAGGTCTTATGTCTAGATATTTAGTCCATTTTAAATTGGTTTTTGTATATGGTGTGAGGTAGCTTTATTATTATTATTATTATTATTATTTTGCATGTAGCTGCCCAGTTTTCCCAGCACCATTTGTTGAACAAACTTTCTTTGTTCCATTGCATATTCTTTGCTCCTTTGTCAAAGATTAGCTGTCCACAAAACTGTGGATTTATATCTGGGTTTTCTATTCGATTCCATTGGTCTGTATGTCTGTATGTCAGTGGTGGTGGGAATGTCCTACAATGGTGGTGGTACAACTACTATGGAAAGCTGTGTAGAGGTCTCTCAAACTGCTAAAAATGGAGCTTCCATATGATTCAGCAATTCTACTACTAGGTATTTACCCAAATGACACAAAAACATTAATTTAAAAGGACACCTGTACTCCTATGTTTATTGCTGTTCTATTTACAATAGGGAAGATGTCAAATCAGCCCAAATGCCAAAAATTGGATGACTGGATCAAGAAGATTGGTAGATATAAACAATGGAATATTACCCAGCAATCAAAAAAGACAAACTCATGCCATTTGTGGTAACAAGGATGGAGCTAGAAAGGATCATGCTTTGTGAAATAAGCCAGAAAGAAAAATAAAAATACCAGATGGCTTCATTCATAGCTGAGTGTATGGAATCAAGGGAGAAAGGTAGTAACTGTAATAAAGTAAAATGAACATCAACTAACAACTATAAACCAGACACATTCTATAAGGGTGGAGAGGGGAACATGATCAAAACTGGGGTGGGAAGAACACATGAACTACGGTGATGGCACATGCGTGAAGTGGTGGTGGAAGTCCACAGGGATTACAAGTGAGATGAAAAAAGTACAAAATGAAGATTGACATAAAAATATACATGTATATGTAAAATAAAATAATGCAGAAATTAAAAAAAACACATGGGCAGCTAGAATTCTTTCACTTATTTGGTTCTATAGAAATTACTATACATAAAGCACCATGAAAGTGAGGCATGAAGAAGAATAAGACAAAGCTCTTATTCTGTAGAACACATAATGCCTTTGGGGAGGGGAATGGCATTCATATATAAAGAGGACTACACAAGGTAGGTAATACAAGGCCAGACCAGTCAGAGTGATGGCATGAGGTGCCTGTCAGTAAATGAACTGAGCACTAGGCTGGCACAGAAGTGGTCTACTTTCTGCTTGAAATGCTAACCCATACTATTATTTTCTTTGTAGATGTCTACTTTTCTTCAAATTCACAATCAGAATTAGTACACTCTCTCTGTTCCCACAGCAATCTTTATATTGTTTAGAAACTGTTTTCATATTTATCTCTTCCTCCAGACTACAGAGCTCCTTGAAGTACAAAGAATTGTTTTCAGTCATCATAGTATCCTCAGAGTCCAACACTATGCCTGACATGTAATAAGGGCACAACAGCTGTTTGCTGAATTAATGAATCAGTGAACAAATCAATCAATGTCCAGTCAATGCTACTTCCTCAGCAAGATTCTCCCTGACTCTCCACAACCTATTCACACTGTATTATTCCAATGACACTTTATTCAACAGCACTTACAACAATGCATTTTGTGTTTCCACCATTAAACTGAAATTTCCTTTAAGGCAGAGTATTACCTATCTTTGCCTATTCACAGCCTGTCAAAGTGTCTGACACAGTCTTGTAGTTTTAACTGAATGGACAAATTATTAAGAAAACCAACATGATCTTAGGGTAGAAGAGTAGGATCTAGATATGTATAGGTTATAGGAAATGTCTAGAATAGGCAAATTCATAGAGATAGAAAGCAGACTGGTGGTTACCAGAGACTGGGATAATGACAGCTAATAGTTATGGGAATTATTTCTGGCATATGAAAATGTTTTGGAGTTAGATACTGATGATAGTTGTACAAGTTTGTGGAGAGACTGAGAACTGGTAATACAAATACTTTAAAATTATTAATTTTGTGATATATTAATTATATCTCAAGAAAATATAGATATAGAGAAAAATGGCATTTTATGTGGACAGAACGAAAACCTGCACTATTGGATACTTGAGATCAACATGTCTCAAGGAACTAATAGAAAATAGATGTTTGACCTAAGCAGTTTATGTAGAGGAATTAATAGGAAGTGTCCTGAAAATGTAGGGTGGAGCAACCTAAAAACAAAAATTCAGGATCAGATGGCTTCACAAGTGAGTTCTACCAAACCTAAAAAAGTGAACAATGGGTTAGGATGCAGCACTGCAAACTGGCCACAGCCGTTTCAGTGCAAGTTCAATCCCCAGCCCTGGAGGTGATCCACATAACATGGCAGACCTCTTCTGATATGCCTGCTGCTCCCCTCAGCAGTGTACTTTGTTGATCTGCCTGTTCTTCTCCCCTCTCTGTCTCTGGTGAATCCTCTCACTGGCCCTGCACCTCTGGCTTGTACCCCAATTCTGTATCCATAAATGTTAAAAAAAAAAGAAATTCTTAAAAAAAAAAGATGAACTAATACCTCTCCTGCTCAAACTTATTTAAAAAACCAAGAAAGAAGGTATGCTCCCAAACACATTTTATGAACTGATATTATAATAACACCAAAACCAAAGACAACACACAAAAAAGAGAACTACAGACCAATCTCCCTAATGAAAATTCTCAACAAAATCTTAGCAAACTGAAATCAACAATGAATTAAAATGATTATACAACATGACTAAATGGGATCTATACCAGGAACACAAGGATTGTTTCACATCCAAAAATCTATTAATGTAATTTACTACATAACAAAAAGGAGACTAAAAACCATATGACCATATATCAGTTGATGCTAAGAAAACATTTGAAAAGATTAAGTATCCATTTATGATGAAAACCCTTGAAGAACTAGGGACAAATGACACATCATAATGTAACAGGGTGGTCCCTAGGAAAAGGAAAAGTTTCAGGTTCCCTGTCCTACCCAGAAGGAGGATGGAGCTGAGCAGAGAAAAGAAGAGAGGAGAATCTGAAAAAAAGAAGGAAGCAGGATGGAGAGCCAGAAGGAGGCCTTAGGAAGCCACATGGAGCAAAGGGAGACATGTGAAGAAACCGTGCTTGTTTCTTGGCCCTGGACTGGTTGAAAGAGATGTGGGGGAGAGACCTGTGGGTAGGTTCAATATGGCAGCTTCTATATTGATTTTGATTGT